GCCCATATTGCCCATGATATAGATGCTGTTGGCGACCATTGTCGACTGATTGGATGAACGAGTGACTGCGTTCTGTATAGATACCTTATCAGGTGCCTGTTTAAACATCGTATCATGATGTTGTTTCCAGACGTTCATTATTTCCTGAGAAGACAGCAACGCCGAAACCGTGAACAGATAAAAAAGGCGCAAAACCATTTCCATAATCCTAAAAAATTCTTATGTGTCTTTTCTGTGTTCAAGTTGATGTTTGAAAAAACATCGTAGTGAAATAAAGTTAATTGGAGATGTAATGAGAAGCTGTTTTACTATATTTTGAAATAATGAATGTTCTGACGATTCAATTATAACGTAAAGAAAAGCAACTTAACCCGTCCCATAACCAAAAACAAATGTACGATTCCGACTGTATCATACGCATGTGTTTGTGAATCACTCTAAATGAGCGATCGTACAATGTTTTCGCGAAAAGGTGAGCTTGTTCTGCGCCAACGCTGGCATTTGTCACAAATACATGCAAAGGCAAGTAAAGTGTTCACCTGAACAGACCCGGAAATTGCATCGGCATCATTTTGCCACTAATAATAAATAATCCACATGCCTACCAAAAACCTTTTGAAAACCTTACCTATGCCTTGATAGCTGCAATCCTGATCAAAGAACTTTTGACAAATCGTCGCACGACACTCAAAAGTTGGAAATGTACTGCACATCAGATGCTGAAGCTGCAGGAGTGAGTGAGTGTGGTTTTACGCCGCTTTTAGCAATATTCCAGCAATATCACGGCGGGACACCAGAAATGGGCTTCACACATCGTACCAATGTCGGGAATCGAACCCGGGTCTTCGGCGTGACGAGCCAACGCTTTAACCACTAGGCTACCCGACCGCCCCTGAAGCTGCAGGAACGTTGGCTATTGGAAAGTTGTAGTATGCATTCTTATGGATAGTTACTCTGAATCTTTATCAATATCATTAAAACCAGATCTTAGTTCTCGCTTCCGCTAAACAATGATCTTAGGACATCCCATTAGGGGTCACGTCAGAACGAACTTTCATCCGACCAGTCAGAGCGTCGCTTACCAGATGATGAAAGTGACAGTCGGAATGTGATTTCTATCTATTAGCCATTCCAGAATGTTCTTTTGTTCAGGTTTGAAAAGTTTAAAGGAGAATTTGTCAAAAAAATGTTTCGAAGCGTAGTCGCCAATTTGAAATTAGTGCAGTAAAGAACGAGAATGCTGCCTTCTGATTGGCTACTGTCATTCCATTGGTCGGTCAAACTTCGCGCAAGGTCGGTCTGACGTGACCCGTAATGGGGTGTGCTCAGATCTTTGTTCAGCGGTATAGCGAGAACTAAGATCTGATTTTAATGAGATTGAATCTTTATGCACAGATCTAAATATGAAACAGACCTGGGATCGTAACTCCCATACTTTAACATAGGCTTACGATAGTTGTAGCGCTAAGACCGCTTTGTGCAAGTGGGCCCTGGTGGTTTCACTGGTCTCTTCTACCTCTAGTTCAGATGGTAAACGTTTTTTACTATTATTAAAACGATAAGATTGTTGCACTTATATTGCGACGTGCATGTACCTGTGTGTGTTTATGTGTCTGCTTGTACTAGTCCGGACTGAGGCCGATTTATAGTGCTAGCTAACTGAGATACCATGCCGCAGTTTAACATGAATACCCCACTCAGTCACAGTAAACTGACTCCGAGCCGAACAGTCCTTGTTTTAGCCCCTTAATGCCGAGCGCCGGACAAGGTAATAACAAGTACCATCTTTTAACGTCTTTTGGTATGACGCGGCCGGGGAACCCCGGACCTTCCGCTCTCCGGGCGGACGCTCTACCACTAGACCACGGAGGCGGTCGCACGTCTATGTTCCTTTGCATGTGTTAGTATCATATCAAGAACACTTTATGATGATCAAATCACACCCTGGGGTGTATGTATAATTAAAACAAAATATCAAACAACAATATCATATGCTTTATTTGTGTGCAACGAAATCCGGTTTTTGTTATATTACACGATATGGGACGAAAACTCACAAGTGGATGTTCAACTAACATATGATCATGGCTGAGAAAATAACGCCTTTTATTAGATCGACAGCCATGACTACTTTGAGTCACAATACATAGTAAACAGAGCCTCTTCAAAGTATTAAATATATTTCTAAATTAAATAGTTTTCGGGGGGCACGGGTAGCCACATGAAGCTGACACGCCGTGATATAACTGGAATACCGTTAAAAGCGGCGTTAAACCCAACTCACTCACTCACCCATTCTAATAGTTTTTATTCAAAATGACATGAGAAATATGGCTGCTTCATTCATATCCATGTTTTAAGTTTGATGGTACTGACTTAAACGAAGTGAGTGAGTGTGTTGGGTTAACGCCGCTTTGAACAGTATTCCAGTTGTGTCACGGCGTGTCAGCTTAATGAGGGAGGAAAGCCCGAAGTTATGCAGGTATCAGACGTTTATCACTTTGGTGAAACCCAAGAGCAAGGGAATGGTGCTGACAAACCTAGAAACATAATCGGGACGACCCGGGATTCGAACCCACGATCATAAGTTTCTGGCGTTCCCAAGGGGCGCAACTCTGCACAGATACTTGCGGCGCCTTAGACGACTGTGCCACCCGTGCCCCCCTCCATATCTTGAAGAAACAGAAGTCGACTAATAGTCTGGACACAAATTATATTCTATCAAACATTTAAACAAGATGCTTTGCTGTTTATATCGTGTGAGCTGTATCACTTTGGTTTTATCAAACAAACTTGAGGTTAAAACAGTTGTCAGATTATATACTCGTATTACATGATCCCCACATAACATGTTTTCGAGCCTCACCTCTTTTCGAGCCACAAACAATACGTAACCATTCGCTTAATGACGTAATCAAGGTAGAACTTCAAAGTTCGCCGATGACATCAAAGTGTTTGCCTCTTGTCGCTGAAGTTACGAATTAAGATACACGAGGTAAGATATTCAAAAAGTAATGAAAACATACCCAAAACTTACTTTTGTACTAATGCACATTTCAATCAAACTTGATCTGATGATTATAATTTTGCATCAGAACAATCGTATGCGCCGATGGTGTATCAGCTGCTGATTGTAACTTCCTGTCTGTTATGTCATGTGACTTGATTGCGTCATGTGACTGATCATGCTGTGCATCTATTTTTAACTTGGCGGGCTCTAACAGTGTTGAACATTGTGTATGTGAAGTTTTATTGTTTAGAATAAAGTTACAATAAACTTACCGTTAGTTAGACGGTCACCGATTAGACAAGACAACTTTATTTTATGGCATTATCGTCATATACGTCGGACCCAACTCATGTTATCCTACCGACTTATTTAACATAGAAAAATCAAAATATAGACTGTGATTGCGTTGATTCGCCGCTGATTGCGTACAGCCGATTGTCAGTGACACTTGACACTGAGTGAGATTTCTCAGTTCGCTGTAAAGTCACTAAGAAGTAGTAGATGGGCTCGTCGGGGATCAGATATCAGTTTGATATATCCGTTAGTTCGCTGTACAGAGTTCGTTATGTACGTAAATTTTATATGATGATATAGAGGAGATAACTCGTGGATTTTGTAACAGTTCGTTGTATCCGGTTGTATGCATGTGAATAAGATTCAACTAAATGGATCGGTGACTTGGTGGATTGTGTTTCATTGTACCCCGACGGCCATTCGCCACCACTTTCCCCCTTTCCGTAACCTGCTTGTCCCGCAATAACACGAGTTGGTCACGAATGCCCCGACGGCATTCAACCACTGGTAAAGTTGTCAGGGACAAAATCGATTATTTACAGGCCGCCCTGATATTGCTGGAATAGTGTAGACTGCAGTAAAAAAGTACAAATCGCAATTTTTTAGATTTATTTAAGAGAAGACAGACACCTATGAAAATATCTGAATTTACGTTTTCTTTGAGTTTCGACAAGTGAAGGTTTATATCGCATAATAATATATGTCAATTGTTTACAAAAAGAAATCATATGAGTGTTATTGGGACAAAACTGCAACTTCATACCAAATTTAATTATGCATGTATCTTGTTCACAAACAGACGCATGAAAAGGATTTTTCTGTACTGAAATTAGCATGTGTTGCAAGGAAAAATACTTCGTGCTGTGAGGGGCTTCAAAATGCAGCTAAAACAATTGGGTTTTCCTGGTTTTTACAAGTGACAAGCCTTCCAATAAATGTAATCACTAACGTGTTGGTATCCAACTTCACCACTGAGTGCGTGCATGTCTAACAAGTTGTTCCATGACGAAAATGTATTGTTCACAGGCCCGCATTTCTCCAAGTCCGCCATCTTTGTCCCTCGGCGTGCCTCCTCCTCAGTAAGCGTGGAGGCGCTAGAAAGTGCTCTCAGCGTGCGTTTCGTTCATAAGGAAATATTCGGAGGAGCTCGCTACATTCGTTACCACTCGCCCCTTTCCGTAGCCTTCAAGAAGACTCGTCCCCCTATCGATGAAAGTTATGTGCGAAAATACGACAAACCAATCAGAATGCGCGTATGATTTCAAGTTCTTCGTCAAAGAATCCCTCAGAAATATTTTTTTGATTTTACATATGTCTTGCATCTAAAAATATATCCAAGACACAGTTAAATGTGTTCAATCATACTGTATAATTCCGCATGTCTCGATGTGCTTTAAATTGCATTTGAAATATATATGGGAAAATAAATGTGAACCATTACGCAACGAGTTGACAATTGTTTTAGGTATGCCCGTCTGCGCTAAGACGGAACCCGGTCGCAAATATGGCCACGAGAGGGGCACGAGTCGCTATTCGGCTTGTCCCGGAATAACACGAGCTGGTCACGAATGGAGCTCGCTAGCGCTCGCTGGTGCCTCGGCACCAAACGGCTCACTGAATGCACCTCGTGTGACGGTAACAAGATGGCGCCTGATTGACTCGTCTCGCTTGGCGAGGCATTATCACGATTAATTTCACAAGAGGTGGTCATTTGACTATCCAATTGTAAACAGAAATTAATGTTTTCAAAGGTAAGACTTTATTTTAGTGTATTGCGATTGTTATTAGACACGTTATGAGAAATACTTTTTAGGGGCTCGAAAACACAGTACGCGAGCATATGACATACATTTTAATCAATCAATAACCCAGTGTACAATGAATACGATGACAAATTAAAATTGAATTGATTCACATACGAATAGATATTATTCATGAATAATGCAGTAAAACAATACAAGTAAACACACAAATATATTATTGACGTAGAAATAATCATACTTATTAATATTGATAATATTCTGTTATCTTGATGTGTTTAGTATTGCAAACAGAGATTTGTACCGAGGGCTAATTGCCACAAGTTGTCGTTGAGTTTATACATCATTGATAACCCATATATAAAAGTGAGTGAGTTGGGTTTTACGCCGCTTTGAACAGTATTCCAGTTGTTTACGGTGTGTCAGCTTGGCGTGGGAAGAAAGCCCGAAGTGATGCAGGTCCCACACGGGTATGGTGCTGACAAACCTAGAAACATAATCGGGGCGAACCAAGATTATCATATGTTTCTGGCGTGTCCAAGGGACGCAACTCTGCTTAGCGAATTGAGTTGCCTTGGGCGCCAAGCTCACCCGTGCCACCTTATATGAAAAAACCCAAAACGTTTTGCTTAAGAATAGCTTAAAAAAGTAAGCCTGAATCGGATTGATTACTACAGTCCTGAACAACAAACTGTCATGTTTTTTTGTTTCTCATGAAGCAATTAAATGAATGTTAAATGTTGAAATGTATTAAGAATGAAATCATAATATGGTAAAAAATGAAATACCGCCTTTTCCCATGAAGGTAAACAGAAGTGGAATATACCCAGGTGGGCGTTGGTTGCTGCCTTTAACTTAATACTGTTGTATGTTCTTGACTTGTGGTCGTCGTACCTGAGGCATTGACATTTACGTCAACACTTGGGTTTTATAATATTAAAGTTTTGATAAATTGCTAAATTACTTAAACCGCTGTAACAAATTTTATGAAGAGACGTAACGTCAATGAACTTCCTGTTCAGTTTTAACCGCGTACGCTGGAAGATGATACCTTGTTTTAGTGAACATGAAATGTCAAAACAGATTATGACAAAAAAACAGAAAAATTAAGCCTTTACATATAAACTATTTATGTGCTATTATTACTTTAAAAACTGCTGATGACACTTCCTAAAATAACCACCCAAAATGTCATAAATAACCAACGTATTCTGTCTGGGCATCTTGCTAGTTGACATGACGAAGCTGACAAAAAAAACAATTATGAAATAAGGTTGGCAAACAACGTACATTTTTTGTAAATCGAACCTTCAACCGCTGTGCCTCTCTTCAGTATAACTACATCTGCCATTCCGTCACTGTGTTATATATACGCCCAATCTTTTTGATGACACCAGGATATTACTCACCGACAAAAGAAACGCGAATACTAAATATGTTGGTTAATATATGAATACTTACTCGTATTCAAGAGATAATAGATTGGTTAGATCCATAAACAAACATATGTTGGGTGAAGCGACACTCATGGACTCATAACGTGACGTCATAGATCCATGTCTCGAGGTGCACCATTTGTCTCGTGCAGGATTAGCGTGTACAGTTTGGCAATCACGTGTAGCATAACGTGACGTCATAGATCCATGTCTCGAGGTGCACCATTTGTCTCGTGCAGGATTAGCGTGCACAGTTTGGCAATCACGTGAAGCATAACGTGACGTCATAGATCCATGTCTCGAGGTGCACCATTTGTCTCGTGCAGGATTAGCGTGTACAGTTTGGCAATCACGTGAAGCATAACGTGATAAGAATAAGACACTGTGGTTACACTTGACTGATTGTTAGTTTTGTCATTATTTGGTACACATAGGAAACATCTCCTCTTAACGTACATACTTCTCTATAAGTTTCGATGGTTCGCGTTTCTTTTGGCAGTGAGTATATGTATCTTGCACCATGTAAAAGAAACACGTTATCTTGTGGGCAGTAACTGAGTTATTTTCATATTAATGTGTGAGATATTTGAAAAAATAACTTTAAAATGAAAACAATGACAAGTGTACCAGAATTAATCACTTGAAAAAATGAATATTGAGCAATGACCAATGCTTGCCGAAAATGGAGTCTTCAAACATGATGCTTGAATATCACATAATTAGATTATTATGAAACCAACCTTGCTACATCTTCTCACAGGCTGTGTCTGGAATGTTTTATTGTCTTCAGCTTCGTAACAGATATACTTTATTAGGGGCATAATCAATACAGTGCTACATACCCACTGCGGTTCAATATAGCGTTGAACACAATGCCCCAATGGATGCTCAGTACTATTATGTTCTTCACGTGCCTTTAGTCGGGACAAGGGGGGATATAAAGTTACAGATCCCAGTCTTCTATCTTCAAGACACATACCTATATCAGTAAATACAGTTAACCATACCAAAATAGATACCGTCTCTCGCGCAAGCCGGGGCGGTCGGGTAGCCTAGTGGTTAAAGCGTTCGCTCGTCACGCCGAAGACCCGGGTTTGATTCCCAACATGAGTACAATGTGTGAAGCCCATTTCTGGTGTCCCCCGCCGTGATATTGCTGGAATATTGCTAAAAGCGGCGTAAAACCATACTCACTCACTCACTCACTCACTCTTGCGCAAGCCTCTATTTAGCCTGGCTTCATGTTGGTCTGTCTTGATTCAAATGGTTTCGTGGTCAAATGCGCCGCATACAGCTTGGCACCCTTATGTCGGTGTCAGTTTGGACATATTCCGTTGGTCATGAGTTCGAATCCAAGGTTTTGCTCCGACTATGACCCTTCTACTATTTCCAGTATATCTGTTGTGGCTTCCCAGAAGGAACACGTCTGAGATCCGCATCCCGTTTGGCTTTCATCTGATATTAAGATGAGACATTAACCAAAACAGTTCTTTTTTTCCGCAGGGTTCATGTTACGCTGTATATGCTGTAGTCGAGGTCGTCCCTGTAGAAGGTTCATACGTCATGTTTGAACTTTTCTCTTTGGCGGTGTGCTGCGTAAAGGTCGAAGGTCAAAAAGGTCAAACATCAACGCTTCATTTGCCTTCATTTTCACAGAGACGTCGAGCCAACCTGAAACATGTAACAAACCTGAAACATGAAACACAATATACAGTGAGACCCCGTCAATACGGACAGTCAAAAATGAAGCCGTCCGGATTGACAAAGTTCCGGAAAAGAACCTAAGCTTGTTTGTTGACTGCGTAATGTGATTTGTATATTGTAGACATTCCGAAAAGTAAATCGCCCGGAATACGAGGTTTCCGGGTTAACGGGGTTTTGTTTGTATGCTGTTTAACGCATCGCTCGGCAATATTTCAGCGACGCGCCAAATTGAGACATAGAAATATGCACTTCGATCAAGGGAGGAAAACGGTGTAATTGTTTATTGTTTATTCCATGGCAGCTTACTTTGTTTTGCACATCAGTGATGGCATGTTTGCAAGCCCATAACGTACAAAATCAATAAAGTTCACCTTGTTCAAATTATTTGCAGAGAGCAAATGACATGTGCTGAAATTAACCTGTCAAGAAAAATCCACTTATCTTTTAGAATGCATACTGGCGATAGGAATTGTTTTGGAGATGAAAAATAATCTTCAATTTATTTCTTACTTAGAGCCCTGCCGCGCTCGGATGATTCAGTGATACAAGCCTCAGGCTGAATTCTAGTACAGGAAATCTGAACAAATTGATGTATACTAAACAAAAATAGTTTTGGGATTATGAATATTTTTGGAATATTTTTTGTAGTGAAGACTGAAAAAACAATTTAATAAAAATATCATTAAACATGATCATAATCCCTAAAGTCTTTGTTCAGTATATTAGAGCACAAATATATATTCCTCCGTACGGAATATAGCTAAACGAGGACAATGCATGATAGGAAGTTAATGGGTTGTTATCTATAATAATGTCACATTAAGATAATGTTTAGAAAAGGGTAATAGTCTTTAATTCACAAATTTAAAAAAAATGGAATTTAAAAGAGGGGAGTGGACTTGTGGTAAAGTCTATATTGCCAACCACATCTGACCAGGGCGAACGGCATAAAACAACATACCATGCGACTCTGTACACTCGTCTATTGAGGTCACTGACAACACATACACTCTTCAAAAAAAAAGAAACGCATAGTTAAAAAAAAGGATATTTATTAAGCAGATGTAAAAGTATCTACACAGAATATGCGTGAACACAATCAAATGAAATCAGACACAGTGATCGACAAAAGCATTGTCGTCATTGTCAGCATTAATTCAGTTCAGTCATTGCACATGTGTAGCCACAAGGGGGCGTCATGGTCAGTACCTGGTCACACCACCTCTTGCAGCCGTCACTGCTCGACACCTCCTTGGCACAGATTGCACAAGTCTTCGGATTTTTTCGTGGGGAATTCTTCGCCATTCCTCCTGTAAGGCGTTGGCGAGTTGTGCCAGTGTGTGTGGACGCTGGTGACGTTGACGGACGCGTCGATCAAGTTCGTCCCACAAATGTTCAATCGGGTTGAGATCAGGCGATTTGGACGGCTATGGATCGACATTGATGTTCTCATTAACAAGGAAATTAAATGTTGCACGTGTTGTGTGGGGCCGAGCGTTGTCATGTTGGAACAGCTCCCTCTGGCGGTCCAAAGTTGGGAGGAGGTGAGGACGCAGCATTTGGTCTATGTATCGGTTTGCTGTAAGATTGCCCTGGACAACCACTTACTGTGATCTACCCGTGTAGGATATGGCTCCCCACACCATGACACACCCTCCACCAAATCGGCCCACCTGTCGAACGCAGTTCGGCGCAAAACGTTCATGTCGACGTCGGTATACACGCTGTCTTCCAAAACGTGACTCATCGCTGAACCAAACGCGTCGCCAGTTCCTGAGATCCCATGCCTGTACTCTGTTGCACCACCGGACACGTCGTTGACGGTGTAGACGTCGCAAGACAGGTCAAACTTTTGGTCGTCTCGCTCGAATTCCTACTTCCCTCAGACGATTTCTGATGGTTTGGTCGGAAATTCTTCGCATACCAGGCACTTGTCCTGCAGTGTCCGTTGCTGTAGCAAATCGATTCCGAAGGTGAGGCAACCGGATGTACCGATCCTGAGCAGGGGTGGTCACTCTTGGTCTTCCACTTCTGGGATGATCTTGAGTCGAATTAGAGCGGGTATATCGATCCCATAGTCGAGATATGGTGCTTTGGTGAACGTTGAAGTGTCTTGCAACGGCAGACTGGGACTCCCCTGCTTCCAAACGTCCAATGGCGATATTTCGGTCAGCTGCAGTTAATCTTGGCATTTTTCGATCTCCGTTTACGTCAGAAAATCCGTAAAGAACTGATGAATTTTGTACTGTCTTTAATAGTCAGTGTCTCTACTCTTGTTTCCAACACTTTGCGCGTGCATTGTGCTGAAAACTTTTTCTGAAAGCAATTTCCGTGCATCCTTTGCATTTTTGCTGATAAACGTTTACAAAAAAACATTTTGAGATGTGTTTGCGCGCAATACACAACAAACATGACATGATTAACGGGAATCAAACATAAGAATTGTCTTTATGACGATTGCTGGGGAAAAATATCTAATTGGAATTTTCAAAACACCTATGCGTTTCTTTTTAGAAGAGTGTATTTACAAGTTCAACAACAATAAATAAAAGGAATGTTCTTGAAGACTGTGTAAAGCAATGGGATGTAGACACGTACACTTTTTACACCCGTTCGACTATTTTTCATTTGAGTGCATATACTGTACACGTGAGTAAGTGAGTGAGTGAGTTGGGTTAAACGCCGCATTGAACAGCATTTCAGTTATGTCACGGCGTGTATGATACAGATCTCAGATGTTTACTACATGTTCGTAGGTGAAAGCACGGGTATGGTGTTCACAAACCTAGAAACAAAAGGGGGCGGTCGGGTAGCCTAGTGGTTAAAGCGTTCGCTCGTCGAAGACCCGGGTTCGATCCCCGACATGGGTACAATGTGTGAAGCCCATTTCTGGTGTCCCCCGCCGTGATATTGCTGGAATATTGCTAAAAGCGGCGTAAAACCATACACACTCACTAGACACAAAAGAGGGGCGAACCGGATGCGAACCTAAAATCATAAGTTTTTGACGTACACAAGGGACGCAACTCATCACAGCGAATTGCAGCGCCTTAGACGATTGGTGCACCCAACTTTAGATGTAGTTTATATAGTGTATAAGTACAAACTGTCTGATAACACGAGTTATGTTCAGTATGTTTCCCATCTAAATATGTGGAGCTATAGTTAACTATTATCAATCTGAAAGCCAAATCTATGAAATTCAATGTATTCCAAGGTTCGGTGGGCACGTCTAGCAGTTGAGGTGCACGCTTGTCACTTAACCGATGCGTATTCCTGGCGATCTTAGCGCTAAGACTATTGTAAGCCTATGCTAAAGTATGGGAGTTACGATCATTTTAGCGCTAAGATCGCTTTGTGCAAGTGGGCCATGTTTTAGGCTGTGACACCTTATCATGGTGTCCCGCTGGGCGATATCTGCGATATTCAAATGCTGTGAAAAACCTAACCGCCTCAATTACTCCGAATTCCAAATTTACATATTAAAACAAATTCTGTAAAATAGAAACACACCAAGTACACACTTTCCTGCATGCTGTAGATAGTTTAACACCGTCTAGTATTTCAGGAGCGGTGGTGTAACGTAGTGGGTAAGGCGTTCGCTCGTCACGCCGAAGGCCCGGGTTCAAATCCCCATATGAGTACCATGGTGTCCCATATTGCCGGAATATTGCTAAAGGCCGCAAAAAACCTTACTCACCTGTTTCAGTTATATCACGAACTAGGAAATTATAATCGGTGAATCTCTCATTCGAACCAAAGATAATAGAATTCTGGCATTCTGGTACGCATAGCGAACAGAAGCGCCATTACGACTGCTATATGGTCTACTGCACGACATGTACGTGCCATATTGTTTTCATGCTGTACATGGGAACACAGTATAAATAGCATGCTACCAAAGGAAATGAATGTGCTTACATTACTAATGTAACATCAGCATGCATGATAAACTATAGGCAACACTCATCAGTAATGCAGACTTAAAATACACCGTCGGTGATGCATGGGACCACCAAATTTGGGAATTGTGGGATGGGCTACCCTGAGGATAATGACCATGTGTCACCTGTCAGACTTGGGGGGAGGCGGGGCTAAGTGTATCTTTGTTCCCCACATCCCTTCCCATTTGTCCTTACGTCGTGGGAGGGGCGCCCTATTACTGTTTGTCGACGGGCCATTGACTCGGTCGCCATTTCGCTGTACATGTAGGTTGGGGTCTGAGACTTCTTGTCACCTACGAAAAAACAAACAAATAACATTCGCTTAATTGCTAGATTAGTTTGGGAGTATAATCAAAGCTTGTTTCCTACTCGTGAGAACTTGGAACTGTTTCGCCGTGTGCGAAATCGGCTGTCCCGGAAGCGCTCGTTAAATCTCCAACACCACCATCACCGGATTTACGGCAATGTCAAGAAAAAGAAAGACCCGTGAAGTTAGAGTGAGTGAGTGAGTTGGGTTTAACGCCGCTTTGAACAATATTCCAGTTTCACCACGGCGTGTCAGCTTGATGTTGGAGGAAATCCCGAAGTGAGCAGGACCTGGCATCAGATGTTTACCACTTTGGTGAAACCCACGAGCACGGGTATGGTGCTGACAAACCTAGAAACATCATCGGAGCGAACCGGGATTCGAACCCACAAACATAGGTTTCTGGCGATCTCAAGGGACGCAACTCTGTACACCGAATTGCGGTGCCTTTGACGACTGGGCAACAAACAGATTAGTACATGTTAGGGTCACTAGGGAACTATATTGGTTAGTGTTTCCATCACCCCAAAAAGTCGATAATTATGAATAAAAGCGACACAATTTAATCCATAATCATAAGACATCTCTGCCAAAAGCCGGTTGTACGATTCCGACTATATTATGAGCATGTGTCTGTGAATCACCATCAAACAGTGATGATACCAGGTGGTTAGGTTATGTTAGCGTATCCCCCCCCCCCCCCCCCCCCCCCCCCC